AATCTTGAACGCGATGTTAAACCCCATTTCACCTCACCTGCGACATGTTCTCTCTTGGTCAGGCTACAGTGTACATGTATGGTGAATTGTCAAGCAAGACTACCTTCCATCATAATGCAATCGCTTGTCCAGTCTATCATTATAATTGGTATTGCATTAACTGATTCATGAAAGAATGTTTGTCGATACTATGGTGCCTAGCACTTCAATTTTTTATTGAAGTTTGTCTTTTTGTTGTTTAACGCCGCACTTAGAAATATTCCGTCTATATGACGGCTGTCTATATAAAATCGAGTCTGGACAATCCAGTGATTGACATCATAAGCATCGATCCATGCAATTATTGATCCAATGAGCTCTAATAACCGTATTTTACTGTACGTTCACCCCTTCTTTGTCCTTCATATTTGTATATCTTGATATAAAAAGATCACAATTTCGCCTCTCTTTATTGTTGTATTGTATAAAATCTTTAATGTCTTCAATAGCTGAGAATAAGTTTGAATGAATCAATATACATAATAGTACGATATTGTCGGAGCATCGCAAAACAATTGAGTTATGACAATTAAAGAAGGCTAGCTTGAACAACAGTCAATATATTTGATTGACAGTTTGTGTCAGATCTATGCAATATGGCGTCGGTAAAGAATGTCAACCCTGTGCTCCCTACGTCAAACTAACACTTCTTATTAAAATTTTAATGCTAGAATCTATTAATTTCCATTGTTTGTTTGTGGTTTAACGCCGCACTCAGCAATATTCCAGCTGTATCACGGCTGTCTGTAATCAGTCGAGTCCGGACAATCCAGTGATTGACGTCATAAGCACCGATCCACGCAATGATGGATACGATAACATGCTATCAACCAAATCCACTGTAACCTCCCAATTATCAGACATCCCATTTGTCAGACAGCTTATACCAGGATAAGTCAAGGATGGTTAGTTAGTAATAGTTACCTGTTTATCTTTAATTAAAGTGGAACAGACCTAACAACTGACATTTTGAGGAATTTACAGGAGAGGTTTATTATGCACTTTTAATCATCCAATCATACCAGAATTCACACATTTTGACGTATTCACCAGAATTCACATATTTGAATTATTTACAGGATATATTTATTCAACTTTAACGTGGAACATATTTCACTATAACCACTCATACAGAGGACGGAAATGTTATCATTTTACATAAGAAATAATATTATTACATTATTAGAAAGACACTATATACACGATATTTTTCAGATTTACCGCGTCTGCCCAGTCGTGTTTTTTTGGTATGCCTGATAGGGAAAAAATAACTTACCTTCCTCTCCCATTTCATTTGTTTTTAATAAAATATTTTCAAAAGTCCTACCTTCCTCCTTCTGTTTGAGAAAAAAATCTGTCCGAGAAACATTGTTTTTTTTATATGCAGCCTTATCAACCAATGTGAACTCCAGACACTATCGACGATTACAGGGGATTCCACCAACTACAACATCTTGAATATTCAACTAACGTTGTTAATCGATCCTTAAGCCGTGATATTGTCCCTGGGAATACCCACGAGTCTACGCCATTTGTAAAGGCTGTGCCACGTGTAAATAGGGGGAATGTACCCAAGAGAAACTTGTCCTATTTTTGAAGTCACCTGACCTGAACGCGATGCTGGCGTGACGTCAGCGGTCATGGTGTCGTCTATTTCGCCGTAACATCAGATGGCCAGCAGGATTAGCGTTGAGGCAGCAAGTCGTTAAGTCAATATATTGGGGAAAGAGAATCCTAAATTACAGCTTAGCCTATAATGCAAATCATGGATCAGGAAGAGGCAGAGAGAAAAAGGTAATAACGATAATAATACGTTTTTGATTTTCAAGACAATAAACTGTTTTTGCAAGTTTGCATCCTTGTGAATGTAAAACAAAAACATTTTCAGAAGAATTAGAAAAAAATGTTTTTTTGCTTTTTTTATGTTGAGAGTAGTGACATTTCTACAAATATATTATCCGCGACCGACTTTAGTACCTGAATCATGAAGAATATATACTACTCAAAAGAAGTTCAAGAACACCGTATTTTTTTTATATGACTATAATTAATCTGTCATGTCTGCAGCAAAATTTCAAAAATTGTAATTAATATTCGGTATTTGGTTCCAAGTCTGCAGCAAAGTTTCAGTAAAACTTGATAAAATTCGAATTAATATATTCCCAATTCATGTTAATATAAACTGCAGGGGAAAGGAAAATACTACAACCATGTTTGATGAAGGCTACCGAGGATTAATATATACCTGTTCAAAGGCCCGCCGTTATTCGGCCGTTTTTCGGGCCCAAGTCCGCAGCAAACTTTCAGTCAAAAATCCTAAAATTGTAATTAATATATTCCCAATTAAAGTAAATATAAACTGCCGGGCAAAGAAAGTATACACATGTTTGATGGTGGGTAAAAATTAAACAATTCAATTTTCATTTTATTTAAAATTGTATCTTTACTGTTCCTATTTATGAATTTTGATTTCTATTCTTCTTCATACCTGTTTATCCAGGCGAGAATTGGCCTTCAGCACTCCATGTTTGTCGTAGTATAGGCGACTAACGGGATCGGGTGGTCAGGCTTGCTGATATGATTGATGTATGTCATCGTATCCCAATTGCGTGGATCAATGGTCATAATATCAATCACTGGATTGTCTGGTCCAGACTCAAATTATTTACAGACTGCCTTCATAGAGCTAGAATAGTGCTGAGTGCGTCGTTTAACAACAAACAGACTTGTAAAAAACAGTTTTACGCCGTTTTTAGAAATATTCCTGAAATATCAGGGCGGTGGATACTAGAAATGGGCTCCACACATTGTACCCATATGTTGAATCAAACCCGTGGCTAGAGCGTGACGAGCGAACGCTTTAACCACTAGGTTACCCTTCCACCCCCATTAATGAGAGGTATGTTACACTACATCGTGGTATTTCAATGGGCCAGCAGGTGCGGTCGGGTAGCCTAGTGGTTAAAGCGTTCGCTCGTCACGCCGAAGAAACGATTCCCGACACGGGTTCAATGTGTGAAGCCCATTTCTGGTGTCCCCCGCCGTGATATTGCTGGAATATTGCTAAAAGCGGCGTAAAACCAAACTCACTCACTTACTCACTCAATGGGCCAGCGCTATGAAACCGTCATTATTATTTATTTTCATCTTCGAAGATACGGGGTAGAATAGGTCTTCCGCAACCCATGCTTGTCGTAAGAGGCGACTAACGGGATCGGGGCATCATACTCACTGGCGTGGTTTATGCATGTCATCGTATCTCAGTTGCGTGGATCGATGCTCATGATATCAATCACTGGAATGTCTGGCTCAGCCTTGATTATTTACAGACCGCCGTCATATAGCTGGAATATTGCTGAGTGCGGCGTTAAACAACAACAAATCATACTTGTCAACACACACATTTTCATCACAGATCACGCACGATATCTCCCGCATATATTAAAAAATATACTTTAAGCAATATATCTTTTATCTCCCTGGTACACAGCAAGACAATACCATGGAAACCGATCTGTCAGATTTACTAACATTGAAAACGACCAGAATCCGAATAGTTCGGCTGAGCCCTCGACGGAATATAAGACGCGACTGTCGATTGGCCCATTCCCGACCGCTAACCAATGAAAGGAAATCTTTCATTATGTCGTCACTGGAAAGGTTTTCCCGCGTTGTAATTAGTGACACGAATTCTGATTCAAGACATTCCGCATCAAAGAAATTTAAATATCGAGGTGCATTTAGGTATTACATGAAATTCAATTCAGTTGCACGAAAAGTTATCCAAACTTTAGCTGCGATCGAGACGGTAAACATCACTTTTCGTGCCCTGTTTGTAATCGCAGCATGAGTTGAAAAAACCAGGGTTTGTGGGATGTCCAATGACATAGCAGTGGCAACGTACACAAGGATTAGGACAAAATCGAATCATCGTCACAGGCAGTTCTTTAGCTTTCCAGTCTTATCACTGTCTGGCCATTATTTTGATATGAAGTACCTTGCACTATGAAGCATATGGTCAATTTGTTATATAAGCTTCTTTCATATCAACAATATCCGAACAGAAATGTCTAAAATAACATCTGCAGTACTGGAAAAAGTATCTGCAATGTATACATCATCTTTGGAACTACAGCTTCTGTCAGTATCTCTACATGTCTGTTAAGGTGAGGTGAAATGCGGTTTAACGTCGCGTCCAAGATTATTGCACTTATATAGCGACGTGCATGCACGTGTGTGTGTGTGTGTGTGTGGCTGCTTGTACTAGTCCGGACTGATGCCGATTTATAGTGCTAGCACACGGAGATACCATGCCACAGTTTAACATGAATACCCCACTCAGACACAGTATACTGACTCCGAGCCGACCAGTCCTTGTTTTAGCCCCTTAATGCCGAGCGCCAGACAAGGTAACAACAAGTACCATCTGTTAACGTCTTTTGGTATGACGCGGCCGGGGATCGAACCCCGGAATTTCCGCTCTCCGGGCGGACGCTCTACCACTAGACCACGGAATTAGTATAATAAACTTTCAACCAGAGGCCTCCAAAATACGGCTCAAAATGGTTAAAATCCTAGACCCCTTATATCATTTTATTTCGCAATTCCGTCAACACTGTTGCCCAAACTGAGAACTACAAAATCTTGTTACAGATGTCATTATTGATCAATATTGGCAGCGTTCATACATCCTTCTTCGTGGCTACATATTTTTTGGGCTTCAAAGTAATTGCACTTGCAAATATTTTAAATACTCAACGGAATTGCACCATTTAAACGTATTGTTAAGGGACTTGGCAGAGTCAGAGCTGTTGTCATTCGAGTAGAAGCAGCGTTATAACGGGGAACTGTTGATCGATGTGCTTAAAACGCTCCGCGCCTGTTGAACACCATCAGAATTACCTCCCTTGTTGCCAATATCTCTACGGCACCAAGACTCGGCGTTCAGTCAGTATCTCCGCTTGGAGCGGGAAGGGGCGGACAGGGCATTGATCCGCGAGCTGTCACAGTCTCCACGCGACTCTCATCATGGCCAAGGTTAACAGTGGCAACACGGCCGAAAAGGCAAGACCCAACAAACTGTGCGAGGACTCCGATGAAGAAAAGTTAAATTTGAAGATAGATAGTCTTCAAACTAAGAAAACTACCCCGCCTTTCATATACATTCTGACGTTTTTCGCCGCTCTTGGAGGATTTCTGTTCGGATATGACACCGGCGTGATCTCGGGGGCTATGATTTTACTACGAAATGCTTTCAACCTTTCGTCCGTTTGGCAAGAGTTGATAGTAAGCGTGACCATAGGTGCTGCTGCAATATTTGCCCTCGTTGGGGGATTCCTCAACGACAGACTTGGGCGAAGACCTGTCATCATGATCGCAAGTCTCATCTTTACCCTTGGGTCTATTTGTATGGGAATCGCCAAGGATAAGTTTGCGCTTCTCTCTGGAAGGATTGTCGTCGGTGCCGGAATAGGTAGGTAATAAGTTGACTATAACATGTTTCGGGTGTTTAACATCAACACGCCTCAACGCAGAGCACAGTATTGTTGATATGAATGTATCCCCTGGTGTATAAATGTTGTAATTAAAGATTTTGTCTCCAAATAGTTGACAGTCGACCTTGATGGATATAAGCAGACGACATTTCTACTTTCGCTTCAGACACCCTACGACCGCGAGTTCCCAGGGTGACCATGAAGTTAGACCCAAGCGTATTATAGAGCTATTATACGTTTCCTTGTCGAGTTAATAACTCCACAGTGATCGTACACAATATCTTCCCGCTAATGAGTTGAGTTTATGAATGGACCTTCGCTTCATTGATCAGTGACAGGATTACGCCATAACGCACAAAAGCTTAGCTCCAATGATTTTTTCCTTTCCATTTTTGAGCTCTAATTGGTGGTCCACTTGAAGACCATTGAGTGAGAGGTATCAATTATTGGACGTTTTCATTGCGTATCGATCCTCCGTATCTGATATTGGTGGACGATCCATCCAGACAGATATTAACGGGGTCTTATTAAGACACGTGGAATTTGCACGCACTTCTGCTGACTTGTCTGCTAAGCTCTCTGCAGGGTGAGGCATATTGGAGAGTAAGGGTGGGTTGAGTGGGATATTAGTACTTTCTCAGATGATATGGAGACTTTGCAGACAACTGGCAAGGGACTGCATTTGATCTGTTTCAGCTTTATTACCCCCTGGCGTTGCCTCCAATGAATTCCACCACAAAGCCAAAAGCCATTATTTGGCTTGTTTGATGAACCACTTCAGATGACATGTACTTTTATTTTCATAGTCAGATAATAATGAAAAAGAAGTGTAGTTGGTCACGAAGAGAAATTTAATGGATGCAGGCAGTTGACTGTAATGTTGCTGCTGCAAAATTATGTTTTTATGTTGTCACATATTACTTCATGCTTGGAGCTTCAAAGATGAAATTGGGAAGATTATTTCAATTCATTTTTTAGTACAATACAATTTCTATTTTTAATAAACGATTTTGAATGCCCTTTGAAACATTCCAGCACAGGCAGTTACATCATTTTCAAAGACAAGCAACAACTGAATTATTAAAGACTGTTCTGATGGGAAATTTGATGTAACTGAGCTTGTGTTTTTCTGTATTGCCCATTGGGAATGTCAGGCTTGTATTTGATCTGCGGACTGCCTATGTGGTCTAGTGGATAGTGCAACTGCCCGGAGAGCAGAAAGTCGGTGGTTCGATCCTTGGCTGCATCATACCAAAAGATGTTCGATCCTTGGCTGCATCATACCAAAAGATGTTAAAAGATGGTACACTGCCTATGTGGTCTAGTGGATAGAGCAACTGCCCGGAGAGCAGGAAGTCGGTGGTTCGATCCTTGGCTGCATCATACCAAAAGATGTTCGATCCTTGGCTGCATCATACCAAAAGATGTTCGATCCTTGGCTGCATCATACTAAAAGATGTTTGATCCTTGGCTGCATCATACCAAAAGATGTTAAAAGATGGTACACTGCCTATGTGGTCTAGTGGATAGAGCAACTGCCCGGAGAGCAGAAAGTCGGTGGTTCGATCCTTGGCTGCATCATACCAAAAGATGTTCGATCCATGGCTGCATCATACCAAAAGATGTTCGATCCTTGGCTGCATCATACCAAAAGATGTTTGATCCTTGGCTGCCTCATACCAAAAGATGTTCGATCCTTGGCTGCATCATACCAAAAGATGTTCGATCCTTGCCTGCATCATACCAAAAGATGTTCGATCCTTGTCTGCATCATACCAAAAGATGTTCGATCCTTGCCTGCATCATACCAAAAGATGTTCGATCCTTGGCTGCATCATACCAAAAGATGTTCGATCCTTGGCTGCATCATACCAAAAGATGTTCGATCCTTGGCTGCATCATACCAAAAGATGTTAAAAGATGGTACACTGCCTATGTGGTCTAGTGGATAGAGCAACTGCCCGGAGAGCAGAAAGTCGGTGGTTCGATCCCTGGCTGCATCATACCAAAAGATGTTAAAAGATGGTACACATTGTTTCCCTTTCTGGCACTCAGCATTAATGTGATTAAACATGGACTGGTCAGCTCTGGCTGTGGCATGGTATCTCAGTGGGCTGGCTGGCACTATAATACAGAGTGTCAGAGTCTAGGGACAAGTGAGAGGCTGACATTGGTCCTTGGTCTTTAATTATACCCAGGGCATCTTCTCTGGGTTTGAACGAAGTGGTAACCATCTATGAGCATCACATTGGTCTGTCACGTCAAAGATTCAGGTTCAATTCCCCACATGGGTACAGTGTGGCATATACCACTCACTCACTCACTCACTCACTCACTCTATCACTCACTCACACACTATCACTCACTCACTCACTCTATCACTCACTTACTCACTCATATTGAGCTGAGACCCAGCAGTAGAGAAATACTTTTAACAGCAGCAACTTTACACACACTCACTGTCAAACTCTATGACAAATCTCTTTAATCGACACATGCAGTAAAGTATTTACATGTGTTTTAAGTAATATACCTGAAAGTTTCGTAAATTTGTTTAACAAAAACCTTGAATGTCAAGCTGGATTTCATACTGGCTATTCTAGAACTGATAATATTTTTACACTACAATCACTAATTCGGAAATATTTATCCAAATCCAGGGTTAGATTTTATTGTATATTCATACTTTTTCATAAAGCTTTTGATTTTATCAAAAGACATCTTTCATGGTATGTGATAGCTCAACAAGATATTGAAAACAAAGTACTGAATATAATTTGTGATATGTATTCCAAGACAACAGCAGCTGTTAAAATATCAAATGATAGCATTTCCAAATATTTTGATTGTTTAAGTGGGGCGGTCGGGTAGCCTAGTGGTTTGAGCGTTCGCTCGTCACGCCGAAGACCCGGGTTCGATTCCCAACATGGGTACAATGTGTGAAGCCCATTTCAGGTGTCCCCTGCCGTGATATTGCTGGAATATTGCTAAAAGCGGCGTAAAACCATACTCACTCACTCACTGATTGTTTAAGTGGTGTTTGTCAAGGTTGTATTCTAAGTCTCCTTTTATTTAGTATGTTTATGAACCAACTTGAAGATGAATTACAGCAGCATGGCAGGAGCAGTATTATGGTATCCTCCCATCAGTCATACAGACCATTTGTCATACAGCTTATAACAACATAGGATATGCATGACTGACCACTAATCCCCTGCCTTCTACCTATCAATATGGACTGTTCCACACAGATCGTTAACTCATAACTGTGTTTATGTTTAGGTTTGAATTATAGGGAACACCAGGATTATAATTATGAATGATCTTGTGCTAATTCATTTGCAGATTGTAGGAAAACAAATTGTAGAGCAGAAAAGTAATTAATAAATTAGTATGGTTTATTCAACATAATATTATAAATATCAACCATGTTTAACAAGAATTAATAACATAATTCAAACTTCAAAGGATCATAATGGCGGATAATGGCTATCCAAGCTCTGAAACAATCCTCACAAAATCACCAACAGTAGTGCACTTGCCGGAGCAAGATTTAATCACACAACGCCAGTGTTGTGCTGTCTGTCATTCTTGTGCATTCTTGTTGATCAAGTATCCTTCAAAGAGAACCTGCTGGGTACTGCGGGCTGATGTAAAGTATTCTACAAGTCGGAAATACCAATTTGTTTCTTTGAGAATTTCAACAATGAGTTAAAGACTGATGTGTTCAATCACTGATTTCAAAGTAAATGAGCATTCAAATTTGGATTTTTATTCTACTATAAAGTCAACTTTTGCAATTGACACACATATGCTTCATGTACACCAAAGAGACCAAAGAAGATCATTACGAAGAATTGGAGAATTACAAATAATAAAAGATGTAGGTAGGCGGGAGGGTGTTGCTAGAAACCTTACATTTTGTCCTTTTTGTAAAAATATTATAGAGGATGAGTTGCATTTTATGTTCGTATGGCCAATTTGTGATATTTTAAGACACACATATTCTACTACTAATCTACAAAATGAATATTCTTTCAGAACTTTACTGCAAAGTTCTAACATTGAAACCTTGTCATTATGCACTAAATACATCAGAGATACCCTTACTTTCTTCATTGTTGTAATTCTAACTGTACTTAACTGCACTGTTTACCTCTTGTTATTGTACCACCACTTTGGCCACAATACATGTATCAATACTGTACTCGGACCTGTGGCCTTTATACTGAAATAGACTTACCGTATTCGACGTAATAAGCACCCAGGGGGCTCTCAAAATTAGAAATAGGGGGCTCTTATTAGAATATATTTTGGTGGGAGAAAAAACAGTTGAAAGGTCGTAAATTTCGTGATTTATGCTGACAGCCTGAAATGATACAAAAGAAAACTCTATATATTTTCCAGGATTTAATTGCCCATAATTAAGGGTGCATATAATACACGCGTGCGTATTATACACGAATAAATGAGTCTTGTGTACACTGATCAGTCGGAAGGGGTGCTGATTGGGATTGCTCACTCACCAATATATTAGCCAGTATAGCCATGGGTGCTTATTAGAGCAGGACGAATATTACATCGAATACGGTATCCTAACTTATCCCTCTGACAATAGGACACAGCAGCACAGTTACATTTGGCAGCTTTAGTGGAACTCCCTGGAATATATTTTCATTACATCTTGACATTTCAGGGACAGTATTGGTGAGATTAAATTGCTATTTTGGGCAGAAATGCTGTGAACATTGTAATTAGCTTTTAAACAAAGAAAGAGATACAGGTTTCATGAAATGATTAACAAGAATATATTATTTTGTTCTTGTGTCACCTTGGGTGAGATATTTAATGAATACTAAATTTGGGTGTTAATTAAAAGAAAGAACTAAAAGAAATGTCACACATGTGACATGGGAGGTAACATTAATATTGAGACTTCATTTTCTCAAACTGTTACTGTAAAAGATAGAGCCACAAT